GTTAGATTCTCATATTTGCTACTTAAGTCAAGGGTACATCATTGAAGGTTTAGATGAAAAGCCAGATAATTTACCTATTGTCTAAAAGTTTGATAATTTGTTCATTATTATTAGATTATTAGATTTTGAAATATGAAAAAATACTAACGTCATTATTTCTGTCACTTTTTATTACTTTTTACGTTTACTGTTAGACATGTAAACTCTATTATTATTTAAATTAAAAATGAGATAATAAAATTTACACGTCAAACAGTAAATATAAAAAGCAATTAAGAAAATGACGCCAAATTTCTCTTAAAACTGCTAGGTTATCGATATCTTTTTGTTAGCTCAAATAATCATCAGGCATGAGTTAATTGAATTTTGATCCTCCTAGGACTGCCTAGGAAAATGTGAAACCTCCTAACAACCTTTCATTAGCACCTATAGGAAGTCCCTAACCATGTATTCTTGATCATGTGGATTAGTTTTGTTCCAAGTATTGATCCATGATTGGTCCATGGTAAATCCAAAGGTGGACTATTGTATCATGGGTTGCCTTAAATATATATATATATATAATATTTTACTTCAACATTATTATTATTTTAACCGTAAAATATTAATCCGATAGTTATAATAAATTAGATAATTGACTAAAAAAAATTATGACAATTAATGGTATTGAATTCTTTATTAAACAACATCACTAAATTTATGTATGTATGTGTGTGTAGAGTAATTCTATTTATCCTGATAAGGTTAAATTTCTAACCTCTCATAAAAGGTAAGTCCCACGAGTGGATCCCACATGAATCCCACAAGTGGAATTCACTCTCTATGAGAGTGTAGAAATATATCCCCATCAAGTTATACATTTCATGTGTGTATGTATGTATGTATCTATATATATAAGAATGTGTATATCAACTTCACAAGTGGCACATCTTAATCATTAGAGTGAGCTCTTCAAGTACATTGATATTATATTAAACAAATAAATTTGTTTTGTATAATATTTTTTTTATAAATCAAAATCACTAAGATGACCCTTAATTTATGGGATAATCTTAATCTTAGTGATAATAATGACTTCAAATATATGAATCAGTGTTCAATAGGGATGGTTTTATTCACACACTTCTTTTTTCTCTCCACATCTCCTTTCAATTAAAACTTTTTATTAAAAAAGACCATCACATAAAATGACAAATAAAAACAATTATGATAGACTTAACTACATAATTAAATTTTATAATTAAAAGGAAAGTAATGATTTTTTTTCCCTTCATACACCCCACGTATTGTATTCACAAATTTTCACTCATCAATGACTATTCCAAAAAATTTCATAGAAGTATATCAATTTTTTTTTCTATTTGCTCTAGGACAATTGTTCATTTACATTTTTTTCATGTCATTTTTTTTTTTTTTTTTTTTTTTTTTTTTTTTTTTTTTTTTTTGCTTATCGTTTCACTTTCTTAAGACTAATCATATTATTTTTCACTTTTTATAAAGTTTTGTTGATTGCATATTTTCCATTTCATTCCTTTTTTTTCCTTATGGTCATATTTTATTTAACAAGTTTTTTTTTTATCAATTTCTCTTTACTGGTTGTACATATTAATATAATAATATTATGTTGATGTACTGTTTAACATTTTATTAATTATTTTGAGTTGTTTTGCTTTCTTTTTTTTCTTTTTAATTGTTTATTTTGCTTTTTTTCTTTTTTCATTTTCCTTTTTGATTATGCAATTTGATTTGTATTTTTAAATAACAAATTAAAATAAAATGGTGGGTGTAAAGAGAAAAATAAAGTGGTCAAAAAGTTGCTGATTATATTAAAATAGTTAAGGTTAATTTTAGAATAATAGGGGTGTGTAAGAAAGTAAATCTAATCTTTAAAAATTATGTAGGATGTGTAGTTAGAATGGAGTGTAGAAAGTAAACAATGGAGTGTGAATATAACCACCCTTTCAATAGTTATATTTTCATAGGTAGTTACTCTTTAAATTTAGAAATTTAATGATATGTATGTTGTGATAAGAATTTCGATCTCATTGATTGTCATAAAATGTTTGGACTAAATATCCAATTTACTATAACCATCGAATCAATATCTTACTATTGAAACAATAAAATCCACGGATCAAATAATGAAGAATTATTAAAAGCACACCCGCGTATATTTATTTATTTATAGACACGCCAAATAATGTGCCATGTGTTAAATACCTATTAGATATATGATTCATGAAGTATTATTCATATATAATATGGGGATCCATAGCTGGTTTTTGACGGTCAACGAAATCTTCTTAGAATGTTATTGGAATATTAATAACATAATTAGAGATCTCGATCACTTAGCAAATTATTTACAAAGAATTATACATAGGTTATCCATAGCAAAATAATTAAGAACAAAATAATCGGGAAAGCAAACCATAATTTGGCCTTAAGTTGATATGGATATCATGTGGGTGTCACATATACAAGAAACTTTTCAAGAGTTTACCCTTAAAAATTAATGTGAAACAAATATTGCTCAGTGTTCAGTATTGTTCCTTTTATTTTTAATATGTTTAAGTTGGTTTGTTATGATAAAAGGATAGTTATAATTAAGATGTTAACAATAAAGGATGACTATTATAAGAAGGGTACTTTTGTACTTTTATCCATATACAATGGCAAATTAATGGACTAGAAAAATTATTGGAGAGCTTTCGCAATTGGTATACCGTTCAGGAGCTTAGCTTCTAACCTATAATGGAGTGCAAACAATTCTTGGTTTTAGAAGGAAAAAAGCTTTAAAACGCATGCTTATGCATATTTTTCAACTGGAAAATATTTTGTTAGAAGCTTTGATCATCTAGAATTATTGATTGTTGATTGGGCACTTCTATGGCTACGAATCAATACAATGAGTTTTTGAAACAGATCACAAAACTTTTAGAACATAATTCCTTTGGGTTCAAATAGTTTTATATAATTTTTCAACCAATATGTATAATTATGTGATATATAAAGTAATCATATTTATCCTGATAGGATGGTTGAACTACTACTCTCTCATAAAAAGTGGGCTCCACAAGTGGGTCCTACATGGATCCCATAAGTGGAGTCTACTCTCTACTACTAGAGAGTAAAGATATATCCCCGTCAAGTTATACAATATTTTTCATGTGTATGTATGTATGTATATAAGAATGTATATCTATCCACTTAACAAGTGGCACATCTTGACCATTAGTGTGGGCTCTTCAAGTGCATTGATATTATATTAAACAAGTAAATCTGATTTATATAATAATTTCATTTGATAAATTAAAATCACTAGGATGACTCTTAATTTATGGGGTAATCTTAATCATGACTGATAATAATAACTTCAAATATATGAATGCGTTTTCAGTAGGTGGTTACTCATTAAATTTAAAAATTTGATGATATGCATGTTGTGAAAAGAATTTCGATCTCCGAGGACGAAAGAAAAAATGCTCCGCGGGGAACTCGTTTCATGTCGGCGTATTCGTGCCGGTTAGACGTCGGCCATGAAATCCATCACTATACCGAGCAGATCACGGGCATTCACATCTCGGTCAAACGGAACTATGCGCGATTCTCTCGTGAATCGCCTTCAGCAAGGTATGGCATTCAGGGTCTGAACTCGGAAAGAAATCTTTCTTCATAGATACAAGACAAATTTTTTGTATGACTATTATAAAAAGGGTACTTTTGTGCTTTTCCCCATATACAATGGCAAAGTAATGGACTAGAAAAATTATTAGAGAGCTATCGCAATTGGTATACAGTTCAAGAGCTTGGCTTCTAACCTATAATGGAGTGCTAACAATTCTTGGTTTTAGAAGGAAAAAAACTTTAAAACCTCGTTAGGCATGCCTATGCATATTTTTCAACTGGAAAATATTTTGTTAGAAGTTTTGATCATCTAGAATTGTTGATTGGGCATTCCTATGGCTATGAATCAATATAATGAGTTTTCGAAAAAGATCACAAAATTTTTAAAACATAATTCCTTTGCGTTCAAATAGTTCTATATAATTTTTTAACCAGTATGTATAATTATGTGATATGGAAAATAGGTGTCAAGACCACATTCTTAAATGACGATATTGAACATTGGCCAAGCACTCAAGTCTTTTATCTTTGATCAAAATTTTGTCCAGACGTGTGTTTATAAAGGCACGATGAAGGCAAAATAGTTTTCTTAACGCTCAGTATTAATGACATTCTACTTGTTGAAAATAATGTATAATGTAATCAATTAAATTTTACCCAGATTTTATACTAATAGGTTTTGTTTATTAATTTTTTTAATGATGCAATTTTTTTATTAATGATACACTTTTTTTTTTTTTTACTAAGTTTTAATCTTTTCATTATGACCAATGCTTATTTTCTTGTTTTTTTTTTTGCTATAAATGTGTTGATAAGCACAACAAAGGCACAAATATGATCCAACTCAAATAAATAATGGCATGTAAGCTGTACTTGACACCATGAAAAATAAATGGGTCAGGCCGAATACGGCATGATAAATAAATTGGTTGGCTCAGACACGACACAAGACATGTTTGAGTCCAATTTAAACGGGCCAGCCCATTTCACACCTCAGTGTAGAATAAGAAGCAATCATGGTGTTTGAGTTGATCAATAATCAAGAATAAGTCAAGATCATTTTCCAGATTCCAGAAGGTTTCCACACTCCGTCAAACTCTCTAAGGAAAAATAAACGGTCTAACAAGGAAGATTGTTTGCTTGCAAGCTACGATCATTCGAAATTGCTGGTGACCAGTTCATTATATTTCTGATAAAGAATCTTTATTCGTATTACATCATGAGCTTTGCAAAAGTTTCAGAATAATAATAATAATAGTAATTCTCCTTTGTTTTTGTTAAATCCATACTATTTTACCAACATAAATAATCTTAAAAATGTAACAAGTACTTTATACAAATCCCATACGTCCTAATCTTTAAATGCCTCTTCAATGTGTCCTCTAATTAAGAGGAGGGACAAAAGGTTTAGCAATCAAGACCAAGTTGTTCCTAATCCTACTTGTGGCACTAAAAGTCTCAGTCAAGTCAAGTTCTTCAGGTCTGGCATTGTTTGCCAGTTTCCAGTCAAAGTGGTACAGCAATTGGGCAAGTGCAAGTTCAATGTTTGAAACACCAAATGATATGCCTGGACACACCCTTCTTCCAGCCCCAAATGGAATGAAAATAAAGTTGGTTCCTATAAAATCGATGGGATTAGAACCGCAAAACCTCTCTGGCTGAAAGCATTCAGCATTTGTCCAGTGTCTAGGATCTCTCCCTAGTGCCCACAAATTGATGATCACTTTGGTCGCATTTGGTATTTCATGACCAAGAATTTCACAACTTTCCCTGGCTTCTCTTGCAGACAAAGGAGCCGGAGGGTGTAACCGAAGTGTTTCTTTGACAATTGCTTTCAAGTACTCCAGTACCTGAATGTCATCCTCTTCGATTTTCGCCTTTCCTTGCAGTACTTGTCGCACCTCGTCTTGTGCCTTTTTCATTACTATTTGGTTTTTCAGCAGCTCTGCCATTGCCCATTCTAAGGTAGCTGCTCCAGTTTCCCCTCCTGCAGCAAAGATGTCCTAAAAAGTTGTTTGAACAACAACGGGTTAGACTCTGTAAAGCGATTGTCATGGGCTTAATTATTCGCATATGAATAATGAGTTTTTACTCTATAATAGGGGTGGAGCCACATACAGCCGAGGATAGGCAGCCGCCCACCTTGAATTTTTTTTCTTCTAATTTTATATGTGAAATCTGATTAAATTTGTGGTTTGCCCCTAGTAAAATTCTAAAATTCTATGTTTGGCCCATCATATGTGAATCCAGTGAAAGATTTAGTACATGCCCCACCCCTCCTAACTTATTTTCTGGCTCCATCGAACTAAGGTTGTTCATGAAAGACTTAACAAAAGAACCATAGCTTTTAGGCCACAGAAAAACAAAGTGTGCAAAGAAGTTTGAAGGCCATACCAAAATAACACCTTTTATATGATTGTTTGTGATCTGAAAATTCAGTTCATTTGGTTCCTGGAGTTTCAGAAGAACATCAACTAAATCTTCCTCTTGTGACTCATCATATTCAGTCCTTGTTACTATGTGCTTAGCCTTCATCACATGATCTTCAATAATATCACCTAGAGTTTTGTCAAGTCTTTGGTACAACCTCTGCAGTGCAGGCTTCATTCCGGTAACAAATCCAAGAAATTTAACTGAAGGGAACAAATCAGCCACACTGAATCCTGTTCCGTATTTCACTAACTCATTTAGCGTCGTCACGAATTCTTCTTGCCCCCTGCACTTCTTCCCAAAGGCCGCCCTTGAAACTACAGCATTTGTCATGGAAAATATCATCTTGCTGAGATTGATGGGAAGTCCACTGGAGTGGTAGATGGATTCAATCATATTCCATGTTTCGGCTTCTCTTACTGACTTGAAAGACTGGACTCGCTTCGCATTCAGCAGCTCTAACACGCAAATTTTTCGCATCTGCCTCCAGTATTCGCCATAGGGAGATGCAATAATACCCGGATGATCATCCGAAATCACTTCCATTGCGAGAGTGCGAGGCCTTTGTGCGAAAACAAGGTCATGAGCCTGCAACACCTCCTTGGCTGCTTCTGGTGAGGAAATTAGTACAGCCCAAATCTCACCCAACTGTAGTTGCATAATTGGTCCATATTTATTGGCCAAGTCTCTGAGGGAATAGTGTGGAAGTGAACCAGCCAAGGCCAGCTGATGCAAGTTCCCAAGAATTGGGAGCTTCCAAGGCCCTGGGGGCAACTTGGAATTTAGAGCCTTGGCTTTGGATCTCTTCCAGATGAGCATCAGCAGTGGAAACAAGAAGAGGAGGGCTATTAAGAGAAGATTAAAGGAGGAAAATTGGATCATTTTGGAGATGGTAGGAGATAATATCATATGGCTTTACTGATTACTAAGGTGGTGATAACTTATTAGTTTCATCACATCGTTAAATAGACTTGTTTAGAATACATGCATTTGGCTCTCTTTTTCTTCTGTCTTAAAAATAAAATAAAATAAATCTGAAAGGGACGAATGGATTAGGAATTTTATATGTTTTCAATTACATGAAAAATTAATCAAGGTACATATACTGACGTATTTCAAAATATGACACTATCTCATGCGTGCTATATGAGCCCCCATCAAAAGAATAATCATTAATTTTGCAGACGTATGAATTTAGAAACTTATTAATCAGAAGATGCAAATATACACCTCTAACTTAATAGATTTTGAAGTACTTTGAGAAGTGACTTCCTTATATTTTATGGTTCATCAGTACCATAGCCCACGCTAGCCAACAAAACATCCTTTTTCATTCATTTGTCATCATAATTATTACAATTAAACAACATTTTCCTGTGTCCTTTTTCTCCTCTTTTTAAAGAAGTAATTAACCAACAAAAAACAAAGTAAAACCACCTCCTGGTGAGCAGACAACGATCAATCTGGCATATCTTCTAACCGAATCTCTTTTTTTTTTTTTTTTGTCAACATAACATGACGAGTTAGATTACGCCCCAAAGATTGGCATTTGAACGAAACTTAGAGCTTATCACTCTAGCTTTGCAAAAATCCAAAACTTTTGAAGCACAAATTGCCAAATTGTGAAGGTTTGTAATTGTTATTTCAAAGAAAGAAAAATGAAAAACAACAACCGATTCGAACTCGCAAATCACCTTTCATTTTAGGAAAAATTTTCAAATTTCTTCCCCAGTTTGGGTCTAGTGGCAAGGTGTCCAAAAACTTCAAAATGATTATGGCATTAAACTTATAAGATTATGTTAGTAATTAGTAATCAATATAATAAGTAGTTAGTGGTTTGTTATTATGATTGGTTTGTTATGTTTGTTAAGCTAGTAGTAGGGTATAAGGAATAGAAAGAGACTAAAGGCGGGAGATGGATTAGAATAAACTGGAAAAACCCTTGGGAGAGCTAGCAGACCTCTCGAACGTCTGCCAATCTATCTTGTAATCTCTTTCAATTACTTCATCAATATAATTTTACTTTTTTGTTCAATTCCTCAATTCAAGTTCGGTTCTTATCAAATTGGTATCAGAGCAGTACTTTATTGGGTAAAAAAAAAAATGGCTGAAACGTGTGGACGTTGGCAGCGATCAGATAAACCGATGTTCTAAAGAAAAGATCCGGATTCTTGGATCGTAAAAATAGAAAAATATCATCTAAATAATCAATTTTTGGAACGTGAAAATGTCTGGTTTGCAGAGGAATTCATGGAAGGTGAGGCACTCGAGTGGTTTCAATGGGAGGACAGAAGGTGGCCATTTGCTTGTTGGAGTGCTTTTAAGATCAATTTGCAACTTCATTTCAAAGCAACGCATGAGAGATTGCTCTCTGAGAAGAATGAGAAGGTTTGGCCATGGGACGTAATGATTTCAGATCTTCATGTTTCTGGCGGTGGGCCGACGCAACCAGTTCTGGAATCGCGGGAGGACGACAACGATTCGATCACTTTTCGCGATCTGGTGCGAAATCGTTCAGATTTGAGACAATCGGTGGTGCTTTAGTGGTGAAAATTGAGAACGCCGATACAATTGTGGTTGGGGGTCGACAAGCCGGCAAGACTAGGCAAGATCGGGGAATGTTTGCGCGAAACCCAGCGCGACTGAGGCTGGATTCGGAGATCCCAGTGGGACTTGGACTGATACGCGCAATTGCAACACGCGATTGCAACACGGAGGGGTCCGATTCCGGCCGGATTTGGACCGGGTCAGGTGATTCCTCCGAAATTAAGTGGGATCCCAACCGGATTTGGACCGGCTTATGCGATTTTAGAGCTCGTGATGAAGGAAGGCGAGCTGGTCTGGGCAAAATCGCCCCAGATCTCGAAGACCCACGGCGGAAAGGGTGATTTGACAGTGGGCTGTGGTCGAAGGTGGAACGGCGGTCTCACGCGGCGACGTTTGGGGCTGGGCTCACAATTTCCGGCGCGGCTAAGGCTGGGCTTGGCGATTTGGCTGCGGTTTGGATTGGGACACATGATTCCGGCGATGTTGAGGCTGTTTCCGGCCGGTATAGTAGTGATCCACTCAATTCTGGTGATATTATGGTTAGGAAATGGATGTTTGGCTCAAAACCTAGGGTTGGTGGGGCTGAGTTTCGAAATTCTAGCCAAATGAGGGCTGAGTCACGTGTTTTCGGTGTGGGCATGTCCAATTCTTACGTGATTGGGTATGGGCTGCGTAATTCCAACATTATTGGGCCTACTTCTGGCTCAATAGGGGTTGGGCCTAAAAATTTCAGCGAAAGTGGGACCAATTCAGCAAGATATATAATGGTTGTCAGCAGATCAGATCAAACTGATTTGATCGGATTCTGCTGGATTAAATCAATCTAGAAGATTTTGAATTAATTTGAAATATTCAAATCTTCCTTATTGATTATCCGGTTGTTTAGGATTAGGATTTAGTCGATAAAATCTAATTTGAATGTTACAGCAAATTAGCCACATTATTAGGGTGATTTTCTTTATTCTGTTATTTTCTTTGATGCCTATTTAAGTGTATTTCCGCCACATTAATAAAATATCGCAAATTATTCCTTTCAAATCTGCTTTCATGGTATCAGAGCCCCTAAAATCTCTGCCAACCGTAATGCCAAAATACGAAATGGCCAGCGGAAAAGAAACCTCATCGTCCGAGGTTACCTCTGCTTCATCAGGGATTGTCAATCCGACTCCAACCACTAGATTTGAAGTTCCCATTCAGCAAGTCACGAGTCATAAATTCAATGGACAGAATTTTGTCCAATGGTCATATTCTGTGTTGATGTGGGAAAAGAAAAGAAGACTACCTCACCGACGATGTTGCACAACTGAATGAGAAGGATCCCAAGTTTTAAACTTGGAAAACAGAAAATAGTATGGTTAGGTTGTTGGGTAAAAACGGCATCGAGTGCGCAGCGGAATTTTAAAAAATTTAATCAACGTCAAAGCCAACTAAGAACATGTTCATGATGCTATATAACATAAATACTAAAGATTTAAATCATACCTTTTTGAGATTTGGGAAACTGTACGTCTGACAGATCAAAGCGTTCCAAACAACGACCGGAAGAGCCTCAACCAACTGGTCTTCTTTGCTATTCTCGTTTTCACGATCGGAGTACGGGTGGGCACACGTCGTTCAATCTCCTTTTAGTATTCTTGAACTCCTTCCAACCACAAGAGAGCCAAAGAAAAAATCGTTTTTGAGAATTAAACAATTTTTCCTCTCAAGAATCTTTTGTCAATAGCCTCCAAAAAGTCTCTCAAGTGATCTAATGAATAATGTGACTTACTGGACTATTTATAGTGTTTAGGAAGTCATACTTCCGTAACAATTAGGTTTTCTAAAGCTTTTATCGCATGCAGAGTCGGTTTTACTACGTCAACACGCACTACGCGTTACAACCAGTCGACCGGTGATAGAGATGTTATAACTCACCGGTCAACCTGACCGGTCAACCTGTCTTCACTAACCGGTCGACCTGTCCGGTCGACCTATCTACACTGACAATAGTTATTTTCCTAGTTCTTCAACACAAGAAACTTGCACAGAGCCTCAGTTTTGATTCAAGCAACCTAATAGAGAAAATTTCTGATCAAAACAGTCATATAATAGTCTTCCCATATTAAACAACTCTTAAAACAATAATTCAACCAATTTATCTAGAATTAATCTAACAATTAATTCACCCGATAAATTACTCATGAATTAATTAACCAATCTCCTATTAACTTTGAACTCATTTTTACGGAAATAACACAAGTTACCAATATGTAGGAAATACACAGTATCGTTACAGGAAATTATGTGAGCTAGCAAAGGGACCTGATGGACATATATAAATCACGCTCCTATAATCACAACGCTACTTGTAAACCAACAGGTCCGTCTCATGATTATAAAACTCTAGCGCTACTCCACTAAAAGCCTAGAGTTGCACTCTCGATTTATATAGCGTATTTACAAAGCTCTAATTAGCTATCGTCCATGACTCAATATATTAGTATATTATCTCCATAGGATATCCATAATTGACTTGAGGTCAAGTTCCGTTTTACCTTCCCGATTACATTTATCTTATGTTCCATTATCACACCATCAGAAAACCACTATTCGTACCATTACAAACAATAAACCATTAGATAACACAGAATAGTCTAATGGCCGAGCGTTCATATTTTTCAATCCACTGATAATGCATAAGATGATATCATTGACTCTTTATAGGAGCTATGGATTCCATTATCTATGAATAATGAATCTACGCATACACGAGTCATACCCCTAATGTACCAGTAAGCGTACCTTTTCATAATGTCAAAATGTCTCCCTTTAATACATCAAAGGATACAAGTCAAGCATACGGGTTCATTATCCATCTCAAGATTAAGATGACAACATATAATTCGTCAAAAGTGAATTGTTTTACTCAAACAGAATTATTAATTAAAACAATTCAACTTTGGTCCGATCCAATATAGATTTCACCATTAGAAACTATATCAATGTCTCTACCCATGGAGTCCCACCTCCGACGACCAAGACAATCCATCTCCGTTAGGAAGTAGACAACATAACAATCTTAATATGAATAAATCGCCCAAATTTATTCTCTCGATTGTGAATCATATGATTTAGACTATCATCTTTAGATTCCTGTCTTCTGCATGTTCTTCACATTACATGCATGACCTAAAGATTTGGAATGACAGTCTCAGACTTTTAGTTTGCTTATCATACATTCAACTAATATGAACATAAGGAGGACAATACATAGATATATTAAATAATAAACCTTTATTAATAGTCAAAATGTCGCAAAGAACATCGTTACATTTATTCCTAAGGGCATAAACACT